ATAGGCTGGTGAACATAGGCTGGTGAACATGACCTGGTGAACATGACCTGGTGAACATAGGCTGGTGAACATGACCTGGTTAACATGACCTGGTGAACATAGGCTGGTGAACATGACCTGGTTAACATGACCTGGTGAACATAGGCTGGTGAACATGACCTGGTGAACATGACCTGGTGAACATGACCTGGTGAACATAGGCTGGTGAACATGACCTGGTGAACATGACTTGGTGAACATAGGCTGGTGAACATAGGCTGGTGAATATGACCTGGTGAACATAGGCTGGTGAACATAGGCTGGTGAACATGACCTGGTGAAAATGACCTGGTGAACATAGGCTGGTGAACATGACCTGGTGAACATGACCTGGTGAACATAGGCTGGTGAACATGACCTGGTGAACATGACCTGGTGACCATGACCTGGTGAACATAGGCTGGTGAACATGACCTGGTGAACATGACTTGGTGAACATAGGCTAGTGAACATAGGCTGGTGAACATGACCTGGTGACCATGACCTGGTGAACATAGGCTGGTGAACATAGGCTGGTGAACATGACCTGGTGAACATGACCTGGTGAACATAGGCTGGTGAACATGACCTGGTTAACATGACCTGGTGAACATAGGCTGGTGAACATGACCTGGTTAACATGACCTGGTGAACATAGGCTGGTGAACATGACCTGGTGAACATGACCTGGTGAACATGACCTGGTGAACATAGGCTGGTGAACATGACCTGGTGAACATGACTTGGTGAACATAGGCTGGTGAACATAGGCTAGTGAATATGACCTGGTGAACATGACCTGGTGAACATAGGCTGGTGAACATGACCTGGTGAACATGACCTGGTGAACATAGGCTGGTGAACATGACCTGGTGAACATAGGCTGGTGAACATGACCTGGTGAACATGACTTGGTGAACATAGGCTGGTGAACATAGGCTGGTGAATATGACCTGGTGACCATGACCTGGTGAACATAGGCTGGTGAACATGACCTGGTGAACATGACCTGGTGAACATAGGCTGGTGAACATGACCTGGTTAACATGACCTGGTGAACATAGGCTGGTGAACATGACCTGGTTAACATGACCTGGTGAACATAGGCTGGTGAACATGACCTGGTTAACATGACCTGGTGAACATGACCTGGTGAACATAGGCTGGTGAACATGACCTGGTTAACATGACCTGGTGAACATAGGCTGGTGAACATGACCTGGTTAACATGACCTGGTGAACATAGGCTGGTGAACATGACCTGGTTAACATGACCTGGTGAACATGACCTGGTGAACATAGGCTGGTGAACATGACCTGGTGAACATAGGCTGGTGAACATGGCATGGTGAACATGACCTGGTGAACATAGGCTGGTGAACATGACCTGGTGAACATGACCTGGTGAACATAGGCTGGTGAACATGACCTGGTTAACATGACCTGGTGAACATAGGCTGGTGAACATGACCTGGTTAACATGACCTGGTGAACATGACCTGGTGAACATGACCTGGTGAAAATAGGCTGGTGAACATGACCTGGTTAACATGACCTGGTGAACATGACCTGGTGAACATGACCTGGTGAACATAGGCTGGTGAACATGACCTGGTGAACATAGGCTGGTGAACATGGCATGGTGAACATGACCTGGTGAACATAGGTTGGTGAACATGACCTGGTGAACATAGGCTGGTGAACATGACCTGGTGAACACGACCTGGTGAACATAGGCTGGTGAACATGACCTGGTGAACATAGGTTGGTGAACATGACCTGGTGAACATAGGCTGGTGAACATGACCTGGTGAACACGACCTGGTGAACATAGGCTGGTGAACATGACCTGGTGAACACGACCTGGTGAACATGACCTGGTGAACATAGGCTGGTGAACATGACCTGGTGAACATAGGCTGGTGAACATGACCTGGTGAACATGACCTGGTGACCATGACCTGGTGAACATAGGCTGGTGAACATGACCTGGTGAACACGACCTGGTGAACATAGGCTGGTGAACATGACCTGGTGACCATGACCTGGTGAACATAGGCTGGTGAACATGACCTGGTGAACATAGGCTGGTGAACATGACCTGGTGAACATGACCTGGTGACCATGACCTGGTGAACATAGGCTGGTGAACATGACCTGGTGAACGTGACCTGGTGAACATGACCTGGTGAACATAGGCTGGTGAACATAGGCTGGTGAACATAGGCTGGTGACCATGACCTGGTGAACATGACCTGGTGAACAGGCTGCATGGATAAGTGTAAGGCAACGCATACAAAATTAAACAAAGCACAAACATTTACATTAAAAGAAGTAAACTTACAGTACAGGCCAAAGGTTGGACACTCCTTCTCACTCAGTGTGTTGTTTTATCTTCATGACCATGAACATTGGGAGATTCTCACTGAAGGCATCAAAACTATGTGGAGTTATGTACTTAACCAAAGAAGGTGAAATAACTGAAAACATGTTTTATTTTCTTCTAAACTCCACCCTTTGCTCTGATTTCTCGATGAGCTTCCAGAGGTAGTCACCTGGAATGATTTTCCAACAGTCTTGAAGGAGTTCCCAGAGGACTTTAACTCTTGTTGGCCCCTTTGTCAACAGTCATGGTCATGAAGATAAAACACACTGAATGAGAAGGTGTGTCCTAACTTTTGGCCTGTATATACATACATATATATATATATATATATATATATATATATATATATATATATGTATGTACATATGTATATGTATATGTATGTTACAGTACAGGCCAAAAGTTAGGACACACCTTCTCATATGTATGTATGTATGTATGTATGTATGTATATATATATATATATATATATATATATATATATATATATATATATATATATATATATATACATATATTTACATACATACATACATATATGTATGTGTTCCGTAGTGTTCCATAATGATTATCAGCAGCCTGCAACAACAAGATAAAAATGCATTGAACAATTTACAGTGACCTCCTTTTTTACACACAATGTTTAATAGGTGGCAAAAAACTTTGTTAACATTTCATTTCATCTATGAAACACTTTTATTGAACTAAAGTCAGTGGAAACCGTTCTAAAACCGTAATAAAATATCAACAAGGTTACAGTCCCTCGGTTCCAAATCTGGACTTTCTGGAACGACTCGGGAACGTGTTCACTGGGAACACGGTTGTTAGGGATAACAAATACCTGGCCCCCCCACCAGAATCCATGTGGATTACAGATCCAATCAGATCAATTGTCCCTTAGCCCAAGGACAATCTGTCCACTAAAGTTCAGGAAATCCATTCAGGACGGCTTCCTGCTGCATCACCGCCTTCCCACAGAGATGAACCCTTAACTGTGAACCCAATAACGACGTTTGTGATACGTCAGCACATGTAACGTGTTTTCTGTCCCATCAGCCGTATGAAACCACTGGCATCATTCCTGTCTGTGTCCTGTTTAAAGACACCGGCACAGTTAGCCACAAACGAGCAGTAAACGCTACGTTCTCCCAACTAAAGGAATTCTGGTCCTTCTGCATCCTCTGGTGCTGATGTGCTGAAATAAAAGAGAAAGTAGCAACAAATAAACATTCACTTCAAAGTTTTCTGTTTTCCTTCTTCAAATTAGTCTATTTTCTAAGTTCCTTGGTTTTTCAAACCTTCAGCCAGGACGACGTTCCGGTACCAGTGCAATGGGCCAGTAATGCCAGAGCCTTAAGGAAAAAGGCAACGGAAGGCCTTTTCCTCCGCGTTGTGGTGCCTTCTGAGCTGAAACAGCAAGGTGAGGAGTAACGAAACCATCTGTGTCAAAGCAATCAAGAAATGGTTGCACCTCCTCAAAACATGGAGCTCTGAATGGGATCCACGGGAATCCACAACTTAGGAATACGACCCAAACGGCTCACACATGAGCCAGACCAGCAGCGGCCCTCAGAGAGCGGCTGGGGAGTAAAAACGAAACCAGCTCACGTTCATCAGGCTCTCGTCTCACGCTCTTGATCCTCTGGACTCGTTAGTCCGCTGGAGATCCTCGGACGACAAGTACAACATCATCTAATGTTTGTGTTTGAACGTGCCGTGACTGAGACCCCTCCACAGCATGTCATCACTGCAGTGGTGGCCAGAGGTGTGACCAAGTCCCTGCAAGTCACAAGTAGGTCACAAGTCTTTCCAGTCAAGTCTCGAGTCAAGTCCAAATCAAATACAGTCAAGTCCAAGTCAAGTTCAAGTCCTTAAGTTAGAATTTTCAAGTTATAATCAAGTCATCTGTCCAACTTCAATTTAATGACGGTGATGATAAATAGATTCCAGAATTAAAGATTTGTTTTCTCATTCGAACAGCAGAAACTGAAACAGGTCGTAGACAAAGTGCTGCTGCATTCAGCAGCAAATCAAACCCGGATTGTTGTCCATGTCGGGACACTTCTGTGCTAAAATGTCAAATACGCTCAAGTCATCATCAAGTCAACTGATGCAAGTCAATTCAAGTCGCAAGTCATTGGCGTTCAAGTCCGAGTCAAGTCATAAGTCTTTATAGATTTTATCAAGTCAAGTCAGAAGTCAATAAAATAACGACTTGAGTCTGACTCGAGTCCAGGTCATGTGACTTGAGTCCACACCTCTGGTGGCGGCTGGTGAAAGAACGCCCTGGTGGAGCCTTGGGAAAGAATTTCATCTCTTAGTTCATAATAATTATTAAAACAAACAGTTGAAAAATGAAAACAATTCCAAACAATCGTTTATTTCCCGTCTCCAAATCAGCTGTTTGATCAGGTAAAAAAACTCACATAAACACTCAGGCCTACCGATCTAACCCTGACCCCTGACCCTTGACCCTTACAGCGCAATACTCTGTCCCACCAGTAGATGGCGGTGGTGTAGCATCAAAATCACATTAGATATCATTTCTTAAATATTTTTTTAATAAAAAAAAGTGTGTGTGTGTGTGTGTGTGTGTGTGTGTGTGTGTGTATGTGTGTGTGTTTCCTATTATAGAGTGGTGGTGGAGTGTCGTGAAGTGAGCGTGCGCAGGCGGTGAGAATGAGTGTGAGAGTGCTTGTGCACGAGGCTGTGCACTGCTAGCCTGTATCTGGCAGACATCAGGTTGTAGAGGAGGGGGTTGACGGCAGCGCTGAGGTAGAAGAGGACAGAAGACACCAGATTCAGATACTGAGAGAGGTAGTATAGAAAGTACGCGTGTGCATCTGGGTGTGAGTCATCGTGTGTTTTTAGAGTGTGCAGGTCAGCGTATGTGCTGCCACTTGTGTTTGTGGTATTGTGAAAATGTTTAGTGTAGCTTTTTTGTGTGTTAACTAACAGGTAATCAGTGTGTGTGTGTGTGTGTTTTCATGTTAGGATGCAGATGAACGTTTGAGTTTCCACGTTCCCGTCCGCTTTGTGCAGAGACATGAGAAGCTGAGTGTCCGTCTGGGCTCAGGTAGCTCTGTGTGGTGGTTCTGGTCCTCGCACGCTCGTCACACAATCCTGCATCTGTCTCTGAGGGCGTGTGCTCAGCCATCTTTCCAGGCTGAGAGAGGGACTCAGAGAAGGGTTTGTCTGTGTGGCTGAAGGGTTCTGGATCCCTGGTTCTTGTGTCAGTGAGAGTGTCAAAGTGGAGACTTGTGTCCAGATTGACTTCCTGCCTGTCGGCTCCAGAACCGAGAGACAGGGATAACACAGTTCGACCAACATGGAAGGGCAGCCAGCAGAGGACGAACGCCAAAACAATCATCCCTGAAAGAGTCAAGGAGAGAGGCATGGTAGAGATCTCTGAGTGAATAGATGTCTATAAACAAAGTCTATAATAATAACAACAACAATAATAATAATAATAACAATAAAAACAACAACAATAATAACAACAACAACAATAATAATGATAATAATAATATTAATAACAACAACAATAATAATAACAATAACAACAATAATAATATTAATAACAACAATAATAATAATAACATTAATAATAACTATAATAATAATATAATAACAATAATAATAATAATAACAACAACAATAATAATATTAATAACAATAATTTTTAAGTCAGGCACTCCAAGTGCTTTACATCATTCGCACAGTGGTGATGATGAGCTACATCGTAGCTACAGCTGCCCTGGTCCAGAAACCATTGATCCCTCTGACCAAGACCGACCAAGAAGACTAAAGTGTCTTGCCCAAGGACACAATGACTACAACAGACTGGGCCTGGGTTTGAACTAGCAACTCACTTGTTAGAGGACAAACACCTAACCCCTAAGAATGTGACAGAGCTTCCCCAAATCTCCAAAAGCCCGGTCAGTCACAGGACAGGTGGGTGTGGCCATCATCAGCATGCTTCCTTAAAGAGCACTGAAATGGCTCATTCTGGAAGGTACTGAAACTGTCTAGCATAAAACTTCTGATGTAGTGAACAAGTTTAGTATGGACCATGGAACTTTTGTAACTTAAAACGGCCATAATGTGACCTATGACCTTTGAGATGATGATAGGAAAGTGTGGAGATGTTCCATAGTTTGGTGTGGTTGGAACAACCAGAACCAAAGCTGAAGATGTGTATTTTTTTCTCACCCAGCATCTTGACAGTGTTTCGGTGACTCTGGTCTCTCCTGCTGCTTTTGGGGCGGAGCCACAGCGTCCGTCCAATCAGGCTGTACACCAGTCCAAGGATGCAAAGGGGAACCAGGAAGTACAAGTTGGAGAGAATCATCATGGCTGCCAGCAGGCCTGAGGAGATGGCATAGTGTGTGCAGCGGCACTCTCTTCTGTCGATCTCTCCTTCACCTCCATCCGCTCTCTGTTCTCCTCCTCCTTCATCCTCCTTTTTATTTTGCTGTTCCCTGACAGAGTCGATATTCCATTCCTCCAGATCTTTTGTTTCATCCTCTCGTTTCCGTTCAGTCACCGCTCCAGATTTGTTATTGACTTCTCTGAGTTCTTCGTCCCATCCTCTTGTCTCTTTCTCTCCCAGCTGTATTCCATCTAACCCAGCATCCAGCAAGGCCATGTGTGCACCTTCTGTTTCTCCTCCGCCTATCACGAACTCGCCCGTCCATCCACCACCTTCCCTCCACTGGCTGAGACCAGGGTCCTCCACCCCGACGTCCTCCACCCCCACCATGACCAGCACGGGTGCAGCGCTGACTGCTGCGCCCAACCACAGGCAGCCAATAACGACCCTGGTTCTGTGCCGTGTCACCATCGTCTTTGCTGTGATTGGCCAACACACTGCCAAGTACCTCTCCAAGGAGAGGAAGGTGATGTGGAGGATGGTGCAAAAGGTACAGCACTCAGAGAGGAACATGGTCAGCTTACAGGCAAGGTCTCCTAAGGGCCAGGGTCTAGGTCTCCACAGCTGAAGTGGACAGGAGAGACGGGTTCATTAGAACACACTGTTGGTTCCACCAACCAATATTACAGGTTCTAAGCTGTTTGACCCAGTTTGCTTGGTTATA